TGACTCCCCCATGGGATGGTGGCTATGCCCACCCGCAACTAAGATTGAACACAGCACCTTGAGCTTAGAGGCCACGAGCTGCCGACGGGCAGCCAGGTGGCAACTGGCACCCTCCACAACGAAGATTGAAGAACAACAACTTGGCTGGTCCCCTTCCCCAATTCTCCAACACAGTTCCCCTTCCCCAATCCCCCAATAAAATTAAAAAAAATAAAAATAAATAAAATAAAATAAAATATTCTCTTGACCGTAAAATGATTGCAACCTGTAGTTTTTGTTACAGTGGCAAATCTAGTTTCCTATTCAATCTACCCGAATTGTCTTGGGCTTCATAGAAACTCGATAGGTTGTCTTTCAAAGGGTATAAAAATCATGCAAGAGTGAAAATGTTCCCTAAAATGTAAAACTTTGTAGATGGACGTAATCACATGCAAACAAGAAACAAGATACAACTTGGGATTTCTGTTTATTTTCCAAGTTTTACAGTATAAAAAAAATGTAACATGTAACATGTTTTACAGTTCATTGGATGGGGGACCCAAAAGGGAACACAATGACTTGGATGCCAGGTACAGTCTGTCCCTCCGAGATACTAACGTTGTCACTGATGTTACAATGAGAGGAGGTTTCACAGCATAACCTTATGAATGTAGGTAAGCCTCCTCGTGCAGATAGATGGCTGCTGCCAGTGTCATTCTTCATGTACATGTTTGCAAAGTCCCAGTAGAGCCCACCACCCAGTTTGTGCAGGAAATCCCATGCAGACTTTATCATACACATAGGGTGATACCAAGTAGAGGCTGGTTAGCAAAACTGGCCCTCCTGGTTACCAAGTGCCGTACTGACTAATAAGTGAGAACATAAAAGACCCCAGGCCACATCTTTGCACAAATGGTTATGGCTCCATCAGATAGAGACAGATGGTTTCGTCCCTGAACTTTCTGGGTTGACGCTGGATTCTAAATTCAGAAACGTACAGTTCTTTCAACACAAAAGCAACTGTCCAGTAAACCTCTCTGAATTAGACCTGGGCCAGGCCTCTCTGGCCCTCTCGCTAGCATTCTGGTTGAAGAAGTGGTCATCCCCAAGGCACGTTACGTTCACCCCCAGGGAGCCAGTACCTACCCCCTGCTCTTATCCTGGCTGGACGCTTTATCTAATACTTATAAACAACTGCTTGGAAATCATATTTGGTTAATTGTGTCATCTTTTAGGGGCCCCAGAGGAGTTTGCTATTTAATTGAAGCCTACAGTGAGTCTATTATAAAAATAAGGAATTCTCAACAAAGTTTAAATTTTCTTGTACTCCCTTTAAAAAAAACCAGAGTGATGATCAACATTAAGTGAATATTCCATTATTTCTATACCTCAGGAGTGCTATTTCTATAACCTGGCCCGTGGAAAGGCAATGACACGCAACTGTGAAAATTCCACACAACATGAGTTGAACTAGACTTGTCACCCGCAGATCAGGTTCCCAGGTTCCCTCATAAATCTCTGAGCAACATTCTCTGGTCCTCAGAGATGTAACTTCCCTAGGTTTTGGGCGTTGGGGGGTTTAGAAGCTCCTAAATGATGAGCTCCATCAGAATGAAATCTCATGTCACACGGGAAAGCTCAGATAAATATAAACCCACACAAATCTAGTCCAGACAACTGTACATTCAAATATGTTTATCCAAATATTCAGTGCCAAAAGAAATACCAAAGACATTCAAGATAAAAGCCTGGGGGGTCGTCACATTTGTCCCCAAGGCTTAAGATAAGAGTTTTTCTTCTACTGAGGACAGAACACTGATGTTTTCAAGCTGAGAGAGACATAGAAGTTGTAGTTCTTAGCGCCAAGTTGTCACTGTGCTTGTGCAGGTGTTAGGAATCTGTTATTGTGTTGGGAACGCTCTAAAACAACCCATTAAAGAGACTTATTTTAAGGTGAAACAAATGGGATTATCTAAGAAATAAGACAAGGCTTGGTAAAAGGGACTCACAGAGTCCTAAAATCTCATTGTATTCAGTAGTTTTAGCTTTCTTTTCTACCCTTTGAAACTTGCCCTAATTCCTAATGAGTAGCAATGCTGAGTGGTGTGAGTGCCGGCTTCCCTTTCTTGTCTTCCACTGAAAGCAAACAGCAGGAGAGGAAAAGGTAGTTTATGCACGGCTGAACCAAAACAGACTCCGGAATAGAGAAAAACAGCGTTTTTCAGAGTCCTATTTTATGTCTGTTCTTTAAAACTCTTTGAGGGAAATCAGTGGATGCAAAGAGCCTGCTGAGAACATGTCAGGGTGTGAGGCCAAGGACTCCAGCTCCAAACCTCCCAGCCGGGTCTGCAGGCAGTCCCTTCCGCCCCAAACGGGGACATAATGGTGACATAGCACGGGAAGAGGCTTCCTCAGCTCAGGAGGAGACCAGCTCAGGGCCTGCGCACCTCCCTGTGACCAAGGCCCAAGGCGCAAACCTGCCCAAGCCAACAGGGAGCGGCAAAGGCAGAGGATGGCTGTCAGAGCAACAGCCCCCGGGTCTTACAGCAGGTGAGAAACTGGCAGTGCTGGTTTTCCTGGGGAGGTGGGGGTGGGGAGGCTTCTCAGATACTTTTCATTGAAAATTCTAAGAAATCTGCAAACTCGGTGGGGAAGCTCCCAATGGTGCTATACCTGTGGGGCAAACCCAAAGTGAAAGAGATTCCACCGCCAACGAAACCCCCAACCCAGGTTCTGATTCAAGGTGTCCTCAAATCCCTCCCCTACATCCCAAAATGCCAAATCACTTAGATCATACCTCAAGGTACAGTGACAGAGGGATTGGAACCAAACATTAGATGTGCAATTCCATTTACTAGCCATGAGACCTTGGGCAAGTCCATTCCTCTGAGCATTCTTTTCCTCACCTGTCAGTTGAGAGAACCCTACCTTAAAGCAATGTAAGGAAAGCACAGTTGTCTAGAACAGTAACTAACATATGCCTGATAAATATGTGTTAGGACCCTTCTCTCTCTTCTTTGATTAGAATATGTCTTGTCAACAACGTAATCTGAAATCTAAATTTTCTGACCATCCACTTGGTGAAAGCTCAATGCAGTGATTTCCACACAGGGTTTAACTAGCTCAATTCACTACTGCACGGAATACCATCCAAGAACTGTGCTATGGGCGTAAGAACAATTCATTATTTTATTTATAATGGAATATGACCACAAGGTTACATAGCAGTAAATTCACAGTAGTGATCAATTTTTTTTGTAACAAGATCCATAAAGCACAAAGGTTCCCCAGAAACGCTTCACATCACTTTACAATCACAGGGTCTCTGCTGCAGAACTATTTAAATATTGTGTTACTATTTCTGTGCTACTTTCAGTAACCAATCTTTTTTTTTTCCTCAATGAAGTTCAGCTTTTAAGTTATATTGAGAAAAGACAGTAAGGCTTCCAAGGTAATGAAGTTGGAGCAGTAATTATCCTAGAACTTGACCTTTCTGTCTCTGTTTCTTGCTGTTTGCAGGTCAAATGGTCTTGAGACAACAGTCTCATGGGCCCGCCTACAGGACAGCAGGCTCCGATAGACATTTCTGTGCTAAAGCCCTTTACTCCTGGGGAGGAGCCAGTGTAGCTGAGGGAAAGGGATAAAGGAGGGGAGGAAGAAGCCACCGGCTTTAGAGTCACTTCCCCAAAGATGGGTGTGATTAGGATACCTCTCCAACATATGGCATACGTACTACAGAAACACATACACCTTCATGCATATAAACACACAAGTTATCTACGGAGATACACACCCATCCGCTACAGATAACACAGACGTTCAGATGTCTAACATATAAACATGCTGTCCATCCGGTAATATACACTCGAGAGAAATGCTCATATACACGGAAGCACATAACCACAAACAAATATGCACCTGTTTGGGAAGCCTTACATAGCAGGACCGAGATAGAAGAGAGCAAACTAAGGACCTGATTTTATTGGTTTCACAGAGAGGCGGGAACACTCCCTCTCCTAGGGGCAGGGGTGAGGACGGGGAGGGGAATAGATTTCTGTCAGCCCAACAAGCTCGTGGCGTGCCACAGAGCTACAGCTTTATCTAAATCCGTGCACTCAGAAGTGAAGAGGAGATACAAGAATGAGGGTACTCGACTACCACCGACTATGGTGAAGAGCAGGGAGCACCTCATCCCTTTCGGACACACACCAGCAAAGCCACAATCTCCCCACGGAAAAGGAGGTCCAAGCTCCGGCAATGAGCTGCAACACGACACACACACACACACACACACACACACACACACACATACACACACACGCACGACACATGTCTTTTACCTTTTACCATTTGCTGTACAAAATTTGTCCTGTCTGTAGATTTGGAAAGAAAGGGCAGAGAGGGAGAAAGGGAGATGATGACAGCTGGGCAAAAAACTGATCAAGCATTTTCTGTAGGGTTTACTTTATGATCTTTAGCAAAAGTAGTACGTTTTTCAACTTAACTGATAAGGCAAAGAATGGATAGGCTACAACACCTTAAAATCTCTTCCAACTCTAAGAATGCAGACTTTTAACATTCAGTTCATGGATGATTAAAAATGGTCATTACTTTCAAAAGGATGTACTTAAGGACAAAAGTTATGTACTGGTTAAAACACCGCCCGGCAAGAGAGCAACCTCAGATATGTTTTGCTCATTCAGTTCTTCTACTCTCTAACATGTAACGTTCACATTTTAACAACTTAGGTTGAAAGTTATAGAAAATCTATAAACATTTAAGGCAAATGAAATCCTGTCTCCTCTAATGACCATATCTATACCATATTCTCCTAACCCCAGGGCACAGTTATCCCCTTTTAAGAAGAATAGCCTATCGGTTCCAAGAACTGAAATAAAAACGCACTGTGTTCAACTATGGGATGCAGCTTTCTGAAACCTTAAACATTTTAATGCCACTTACATCGTTCCCACTGCACCAGTAATTCAAGCTAGGAAGAGTCTGAACGTGTAAAGCCTTTATAAAGATCCTGCATTTTATTTTGGTATTCTTCCAAAAAGGAGTCAGTACAAAGTCAGTGTAAAAAAATACTGGTACTCAATTTAAAACAGAAACAATAATTTCAGAAAGTCTGACATTGTCCTATGCCAAGACTGGGCAAGGGAGAAAGGGGTAGAGAGAATATATTCCTTAAGTTAAACCTTTCTTCACCCTGCTGGGGTGTATACACCAAAGCAAACAATCCACCTTAACCCCTTCTGGATGGGTAACTTCAGACAGGGTTGAAAACACAGGATTTCAGAATGCTGACAATGAGCGTCATTATGAACCATACGTATAGACTTTTATGGCACTTCTACTGCTGTGTTCCTGACGCAGCAGCCTGTGACACATTTAGTCTGGGACATTATTACCTTTACGCAGCCAAAGTCTTATAGACATTTACCCTCCCTTGCCCTATCTCCCAAAATATATTTCCTGAGAAAGACATCATCCTAAGGAATGTGCAGTTTGAAGGGACCTACAGGCAAAAACTAAGAGGGAACAAAAAGCACCATGGTTACATGGTGTGTGTTTTTCTATCAACAGAACCATGTAGTTAAATATAATAGTACATCTTGGCTCCACGCCGCTCTGACTGGTTTCCCCTTCCTCCTTGCCCAACACATCTTTTTTTTTTACCTGAAGGCTGTTGATTCAAGAACACTATTTAATTTTTCAGGTACAGATATATTGCAAATATCCAACACCAATTTTGATTTAAAAAATGATACACTAACACTACGCCACCCGTGGAATGCATAAACCAGTAAGGTGTATGGGAACACAAAGAGCATTTTAACAGTGTCATCCTTGACTAAAGCAAGGGAATGGTACCCTAATTTCCTGGGAAAAGCAAGAGTGAATACTTTGGAAAGGTGTGTTGTAGATATAGGAAGGCCAACAGAGGCACAGGGGACCCGCCCCAAGGTGTCAGGATGTGGCTCCTCAGGGAACTCCCCTGCACTGGGCTCCTCTAGGACGGTCCCCACCCACAACCCAGGCCAGGGGAAAGCTCACAGCAACCAGCTGCATTTAAGAAACAGATCATGGATGAATCATTCTGAGCCCTAAGACTGGCTCCCTACTCTCCTTCCCGCAAACTCTGCAGTTTGCCCATTCTTTCTCCTCACTTTACCAAACTCTACAAGCATTTTCAACACCAGGGGCTAAACACGCCCTTCCCTGGTAGTAAGTGGCAGAGGTGACGAGTTGCACAGTGACGGTGGTCAGAAATCAGAGACTGGACAGCACCAGCTGGCACTGCAGTGGGCACTGTTTGGTCTCCCACTGCTGGCAGCTTGCTGTGAAGCTTTGGGAGAAATGAGTCTCCAAGCTGAACCTGCCAGTCCCAGAGTCACAGTGTCAGTCTTCCCCCTGGTCGGTGGGGCGCAGGGGGGAGGAGAGGTGGGACGGGAGGGCTCCCGCTGGGGCCTAAAAGGGACATTCTAGCTGGCTTGCCCTCCCCGCACGCTTCCCTCTGCAAACAATCTGTGGGACCACCTGAGGCTGTGCAGAGCCTAAGAGCACATGCGTAGAGCCAGATCCCCAGCAGTTCTGAAGAAGGCTGGGCTTCCCTGGCCAGCGGCCAGCAAGCGGGTTGTGTGTATGTGCGCATGTGCGCGCACTGGGGCGGGCTGGATAGGTGGAGCCAAGCGCCAATCACAGGGTTAGCAAAGGGCTCTCCCGGCCAGTAGGGAAGCAGGGTCACAAACAGGGCAGGCAAGTTTCCTTTTTGGGAAAAAAACCCAGATTCAAATCATTAAGCTGTCAACTGATAGTGCACATTTTTTTTTGGTTGTAATCCTTCTCTGCAGAACCTAAGGCAACAATGAACAAAGATGAGGCCGGCAATTCCAGAATGGCACGTGGATCCTGTGGGTGATGTGGACCTGGTCATCTACATACACAAACACGTACGGGGACATGTTGCGTCTGGTTTCCTGAACCAGAATACACGTGTGTCCCCTAAAAGTCTACGAGTGGGTCGACCAGACGCAAGAGGAGGGTGGGGTGCTGGACGAAAGGCAGGGTCTGCTTGTTGTAAGGCAAAGCTCCCAAGAACCACCAGCTCCGCTTTGGTTACAGCTGTCGCAGGAACGCCCGGGGCCCGCGTCTTGAGAAGTCCCATACACAACAGCCAGATGTCCTCAGTCACCTTTTCCCGGGGCGGACAACCCCTGCTTCCTTCCAAATAAAGTGCAGGTGGTCAAAGGACACTGGTCTATCATCTGCCAGCCTTAGTCAGCAACGAAGAACAATTGAAAACAAAGATGCCCCTCTGGTATACATATATATATCTCTATATATATTCTTCTTTTTTTTTTTGTTAATAAAGCCACAAATATAAAACTTTTAAACTGACGTCTCAGACTGTAAGCGCAGGACAAATTTGTGAGATTTGGGGTCTACGAATTCTTCCGAGAGCACGATGAATGGAATTTTCTTCACATTGACGACGAGGCTGAAGTCCAAGCATTTGAGGACGAAAACCATCCCATCCCGTAAGCCGTTTGTCACAGCCTCATCACTAACGAGTCTCCACTGTGTGGACAGCCAGCGCTCCTTGTCATACTGCAGGGTGGGGCCTGCGCTGAGGTAACGTTCTAGGAAGGCCTGAAAGGAGAGGAGAAAGGCTGTTAGGGGACAGACACCCAGCTCCCAGAGCAGCGCTCCCATCCCTTCTTACCTCAATGAAAACCACAGTCCCTGTACACCATGACAGAGCCCAGCTCATCACGCCGAATTCCCATCAGACCCTCACGGTTGGGTTACAGCTGGTGTGGAAGACCCCTTGGACTCCCTCATTCTCCTTTGCCAACCTCCAACCAGAGGGTGAAAATGGTGGTAAACACACAGGTGACTGATACCACTCTTGGCCCGGCACCGTCACTAAGGCCCCTGCTTGCACCTGTTTGCAGGTGTGCCTTCTCCTACACTGAAAGCTCAGGTCAAGGGCTGGGCACAGAGAAGCACCTTGGAAATATGAGCTGAAGAAATAAAGGGGTACACCTGCATGCACAAAAATGCATGCTCACCCACTGACTGGTTGTGTGACTTTGGACAAGCCCTTTCACCTCTCTACAAGTGGAGATAACAGCGCCTAACTCACAGGGCTGCTATAAGGATGAAATGGTTAACTCTAACCATCTAATGGCACCAGGGAAATCCAACCAATGAGAGCGATGGTTTTTATGTTGGATCGACTGTGCACGTGGCAAGTCCAAGGGATGGCTAGACCCCACGTTCACTTCCCCTCGCAGGAGTTCTCAGATGCAGTAGTGCTTAGCTCCTTGGGAGCTCTCTGACCCCCTCCCCCCAATGCTGCTCATCCTGCAGATGTAGTCCCTCAGCAGATTCCTCCTGGCCCTTTAAATCTTCCTAGACCACACCCTGAACCTCTCAAATTAATGCGCCCTATGATTAAGTGCCTATAATCATCGGCAGGACTCCTGTGTGACATTTTGTGTTCTGAACAATGACGGCTGACTTGCTTATCTGCGCCCCACTAGATTTTATTCTGGAGGGCAGGAATTGTTTTTAAATTTGAATTTCCAATGTGTCTGGCACATTTAAGAAGCTCAATAGCATGTGTATTATGTCAATAAATATAGTGATTTAGCTGAGAGAAAGAATGAGCCAGTGAAACAGATAGAAATCACTCTGGTTCTAGCTAGACACAGGTCAAGGACAGTTTCTAAGTGGTATCCACTTCCACCCACCCCTCACTGCGGCTCCCAGGTACAGTAGCTCTGACCTGTAAGCATATATTTTAAGGCAGAATGTAGAGCTGTGCCTCTAGGACAAAACACACTTCTAATATAAAAATAGCTCCTGAACTGACTCTGGGTGGTGAACACATAATGCAATATATAGATGATGTATTATAGAATTGTACACTTGAAACCCATGTAGTTTTGTTGACCATTGTCACCTCAATAAATTCTAATTAAAAAAAAAAGAAATAGCTCCTATGAATCATAAGAAAAATAACTCAACAAGGAGAGAAATACAATGAATAAAATAATTTATAGAATAGAAAATTAACATATGAAAGATGTTCTATCACAATAATTAAAGAAATATGAATTCAAATAATAAAAAATTATTTTCCAACTCTTAGATGGGCAATGATTAAAAAGAATGGTAACACCCAATGCTGTGATGTGTGTGGGGACAAAAACAGTCTCATGTCCCAGAGGCAAATGTGTAAAACAGTCACACCCCTTACAAGGACAACCTGGCAGATCTATACCTTTGATCCAGCTCTTCCTTGACTAAAAATTTATCCTTCAGAAATACTTGCACCAATGCACGAAAACATAGTAAAAGAGATAGTCACATCAACACTGTTTAGGCCAGCGATTGGCAAAGTTTTCTCTAACTGTAAATATTTTTGGCTTTGCAAGCCATACTCTGTCACAACTGCTCCACCCGTGGAGAAAGAAAGCGGCCAGAGAAGATATGTAAATAAAAGGGTGTGGCTGCGTTCCAATAAAACTGATTAACAAAAACAGCCAATCCCCCGTTTAGACTAATGCAAGATCTTAACCCAAATGTGTATCAAGAGGCAATCAGTTAAACAAATCACAAAATCACAGTATTCAATGGAATGAGCCAAGAGAGGGTTTAAAGTGAGTAAAGCATGTTTCCAAACTATATATACAGGTATGAGATCCCAGTTTTTCCCCCATTTCTGCTTTAAACACGCACGCGCATGCATGTACATACATACACACACACACATACACACACACCCCAGAAAGAACACACACACCACTCCCTGTCAGTAAGAACTGTTGGGCTAGACCAGGGGTCAGCAAACTGCGGCTCGCGAGCCACATGCAGCACTTTGGGTACGTTCCGTCTCAAAAGTTTGCCGACCCCTAGAAGAGCCAATCCTGTCCCTCACAACAATTTAAAAATTATTCGAGAGCCATAAATATATTTTTACATAACCACCATTATGTGAATAATATCCTTTATAAATTTTATAAGTGAAACTATGATAGTTTTATTTTCATTTTCAATTTTACTTCAGAGCCTGTGGCTCACGTGCCGCAGTTTGCTGACCCCTGGCGGTTCTTCTGTCTCAAAAGTTCGCCGACCCCTGGGCTAGGGAAATGAAACTTCACTTTGTACATAGTACTTTTATTTAATGTTTGGATTTTTATACAAATATTATTATTTTTAAAATTTTATTAAACTTATTGGGGTGACATTGGTTAATAAAATGATATAGGTTTCAAGTGTACAATTCTATAACACATTATCTGGATATTGCATTCTATGCTCACCACCCATAGTCAAATCCCCTTCCGTCACCATATATTGGACCCCTTTTATCCTTTTCTACCTCCCCTACCCCCCTTGCCCTCTGGTAACCACCACGCTGTTGTCTGTGCCTATGAGTTTTTGCTTGCTTGTTTGCCTTGTTCGTTTGTTGCCTTCAGTTTTAAATCCCACATAAGGGTGGAATCATATGGTTCTCGATTTTTTCCATCTGATTTATTTTGTTTAGTATGATATTCTCAAGATCCATCCATTTTGTTGCAAATGGCACTATTTCAGATCGTTTCTTACGGCAGAGTAGTGTTCCACTGTGTATATGTACCACATCTTCTTGACCTAATCAGCTATCAAAGGACACTTTGGCTGTTTCCAGAAATAAACCCACATATATATGGGCTAATAATTTTCGATAAAGGAGACAAAAACATACAATGGAGAAAAGAAAGCCTCTTTAATAAATGGTGCTGGGAGAACTGGAAAGCCACAAGCAAAAGAATGAAACTAGACTGCTACTGGTCACTATACACAAAAATTAACTCAAAATGGATCAAAGGCCTAAATGTAAATATAAGACCTGAAACGATAAAATACATCAAAGAAAACATAGGTATTAAACTTATGGACCTTGATCTTAGAGAGGATTTCATGAATTTGACCTCAAAGGCAAGGGAAGTAAAAGCAAAAATAAACGAATGGGACTATATCAAACTGAAAAGCTTCTGCACGGCAAAAGAAACCATCAACAAAATAAAAAGGCAACCAACCAAATGGGAGAAGATATTGCAAACAAGTTATAAGAGGCTAATATCCAAGAACTGATATGACTCAGCAACAAAAAAAAACAAGCAATCCAATTACAAAATGGGCACAGGACGTAAACAGACACTTCTCCCAAGAAGACATATAAACGGCCAACAAATATATGAAAAGATGCTCAGCTTCACTAGATATTAGGGAAATGCAAATCAAAACCACAATGAGATACCACCTCATACCTATTAGAATGGCTATCATCAACACGACAAGTAATAACAAGTATTGGAGAGGATGTAGGGAAAAAGGAACCCTCATACACCACTGGTGGGAATGCAAATTGGCACAGCTACTATGGAAAACAGTATGAATGCTCCTCAAAAAAATAATAGAATTACCATACGACCCAGCAATCCCTCTTCTGAGTAACTACCTGAACAATTTGAAAACATTTATTTGTAAAGATATATGTAGCCCTATGTTCACTACAGCACTATCCACCAAGAATGTTATTTATTTTTTTATTTTTTTAAAGATTTTTTTTCTTTTTAATTGGGGAATTGGGGGAGGGAACAGCGTTGGGGAATTGGGGAAGGGGAACAGACAAGTTGCTGTCTTATTGTTCTTCAGTCTAGTTATGGAGGACACCGCTTCACTGGCCCATGTTGGTATTGTGATCATTGCACTCCTCCCAGCTGAGGCACATCGGTTGCCAGCCATCAGCCGCTCATGGTGGCCCTCACCGGCTGCCGGTTGCTCACACCGGCTGCCGGCCATTCATGGTAGCTTACGGCAGCGCACTGCAGCCCCACTGCAGCCCAGCTCCAGGTCTAGCTGTTGTTCACCACATTAGCTGTAGAGGGCACAGCATCACTAGCCTATGTGGGATCCGAACCGGCGGCCCTGCTGCTCAGAGCTTGCGCTCCCAAGCTTTAACCAATGAGCGACTCAGCCGGCCCAAGAGAATATTAGTTTTAATTCAGAAAATTATACATTATTTAAATGAAAAAGAAAACAACTGGGAAACTACAAAATCTTGAAAAAAAGAAAAAGAACTGCTTCTGTTCATGGTAAAAGCTATCCCTTTGCACATGCAGACATACTGTACTTATTTGCAACCACAGTGTCCACACTTTTTTGTATTCTGCTTTTTGTAACTTAATATTCTAACAAAGATTTTTTCATGGTTCAATAAGTGATATACCATAATTAATAAGCCACTGTTCTATTTTTAAGTTATTTCCAAATTGGAGTTATTACAGATTATTTTGCAAAAATCATCTGACTGTGCTGAATATTTTTTCTAGGAGAGTCAAGGAATATGGAAAATCTTACAGTTTCTTACTGAATGTTTCTGTATTGCTTTCTCAAGGGTTGATATTGGTTAGTGACAATGTAACAGCAGTTGTACCTGTACAGGACAATGTATGAACACAGGTCCATACTAATAATAACAGCTGCCAAATATTACAGGTGTGCTACATGCCAAGCTCACTTACTTTCTACCACTTGATTTCTATGTCATGTTGCCATATATAATATAATTCTCACACAACAACCCTATGAGGCTGACACTGTTATTATCCCCATTTTATAAAAGAGGAAAGAAGTGCAGAGTAACTTATGCAAAGCCACAAACCAATTAAATGGTGGAGCCAGAATTTAAACCCACTTCTTTTCTTAGAGAGGTCATTTGCAAAACCCTTACTCCATTTTGCCTCCGACCACACCCCTTTATGAGATACATGACTGTTTTTTTAATAGCCCTAAAAGTGAGCTCATCATACACCAAAAAACCATTCAGTAAAACTAATGCCACAACATCCAAAAACAAAGAGATGGCATCGTGTGTACCGCTAATAATAAGAGCCATTTATTCAGACCTTACAACAGGCACTGCGTTCAGGAATTCACGTGAACGAACTCAGTTCTCACAACCCAATGAGGCAGGCATTAGCATTATCCCCAATTTACAGATTAGAAAACTGAGGCACAGAGCCGTTAAGCTATTGGCCCAAGGTCTCCCAACTAGCTGGTGGAGGACCCAGGTTAGAATGCATCAACTTGGCTCCAGACACCCACCACACCCCGAGTCCCCCTAACTACCTGTATAGTCAAGCGAAACTCTTTCTCCTCTGCTTGACTCTAGAGGCCTTCAAACGGCACATCTAAAAAACAACTGCACCAAAACACAATCGAAGAAGTGAGAATCGCTAATTCTTCCTGGTTGGTGCTTCAGAGAAGCCTTTGACTTTTATCGCCCCACAATGGGACTCCCACGCGTAGTGACAAGGCGCACCTTTGGGGTCATGCTGTTGGTGATGCAGAAGGCCAGGTGCTGCAGGATGCTCTCCATGCTATGGTAGTGCTGCTGCCGCGTGGTACGCAGGTACTTTTGCAGAGCCCGGGCCATGGAGGGGAAGATGGCTTGGGCGGCCTCCCTGGGGTCCATCACCTCCCCTGGCGCCTTCTGCTGCTCCTCGGCCTGGAGACGCTGGATGTGGATGAAGGCCTCCTCCACTGCCACCACCAGCCTGGGACAATGAAACACAGTCATCAGGACAGGATGTGCAAACAGAGTCATCCCGGACCTGGAAGGACTCGGGCCCACCAGCTGTGTCTGAGCTTGCCACCAGCTCCCCTAAAGCTCACATCCTTAGCTGTCACTGCAGACGGTTGGGAGGGGCAGGAGGGAGAGAGAAATGAAGGCAAAACAAAAACAAAAACAAAAAACCTAAAAAGAAAAAAAAAACCACCACATGGAATTGGGGCCACCGGGGTGAGGAGGAAGGCAGCCTGCCTGGGGCTGAGAGATGACGTCTGTTCTCAATCCCACCACTTATTTGCTTGACAGACTTGCTTCAATCCTTCTCATCTCTACAGTGAAGGGTTAGATGAAAAGAGTTCTGAGGTCCCTCAAACTCTGGCTACAAAAGGCTCCGCTCACACTGAGAGGTGGCTGGTGGTGCAGAAACAGCCTCACCAAGTACCACAGCTGTGTCCCCATCCATCCAGCTGCCACACCAGCAGCCGCTGGGAAAAAGGAAGGAGGGAGCTCAGCACACACGATGGAAACCACCTCCATCCACTTCCGTTAACAGGATCAGATCTTGAAAACCAGCAAGGGCCTGGGGCTATAGGATGGGACCTCTCAAAGTGTGGGCTGGGGGCCAGCAGCAGCTGGGAATTTGTAATAAATGCAAATTCCTGGGCCCAACTCCAGACCCACTGAATAGTAAGTGACCTTTGTGGGTGGGGCCCGGAGGCCTGTGTGTTAACAAGCCCTTCTGGTGATGCTTATCCATGAGAACGTTTGAGAAACACAGGAGCAGGATCCACGCCAAAGGCCCAGGTCA